CTCCACTGCACATGTCTGTTGTGTCACTGGATTATAACACGTCACAAGCAGCGTTTCCGGAGGTCTGATCCAGAGAACATGTTCTGCGCTCTGTTCACTGTGTTGGTTGGCTCCGTCAATACAGGGTGCACGGTCGTGCCGCAGACTTCCAGTCGCAGGATCGCGGCTAAGAATTGGTCTGACAACCTTGCTCGTAGTCAAGCTTGCACTTTCATAACTATCGAAATTAGGCCGCTCGGAGAGATACTGCCTGGAAGAACTTGTAACACGCATACGGTGGTCCAGGGAATAGACGAGAAAAAAACATCGATCACCGTCCAGATATCCAGTTGTGATATGAGCGGGTGCCGTGAGCTTGTGTGCTATTTGAGATGATGCGGCATTCAGGGCAAAATTGACGACAGCCTTGGCAACATTGAGACACATGTCACGCCGGCTACGTCGCATTTCAAATGACAATCCCAGCATGCGCTTGTGCTTTCTAGCAGATCGGCGTCCATGAATCCCACGAATATAGCGCTCGAGAATTGCAGCACATATTTCGGCACTGTACCGCCGCTCAAGGAGAAGTTTTGCTCGATGCGCGTCAACAGCAATGCGGCCTGCACCTCTTAGCTCTGAGGCAAGCTCCAAGAGGCTTGCCATCTTAATTGGTCGCATTCTAATAAGACCACGCGCCGTTTCTCTGCGCAAACGAGCTGCGATCAAATCCCGCCTCGCTTTGCGGCGCTCTCCATCTTCCTGAAGTCGCCGCTTGAACCAGTATGTTCGTGTCGCTGGTCCAGGTATGCCAACGCCCTTCCATTTACCCCTCTCCGCCCGACAAAACACGCCATCAATGATACCCTTGAGCGATGCTCTGGACTGCTGCACGACAAGGGTCGCCTGCAGTTTTTCATACTGGGCCCACACTTCTCTCTCTCGTTGGCTGGTGCTCTCCTGTGCATCGCTCTGGTCATCGAGGCTGTCGCCCACATCGTCACTGTCATGATCGCTCCCGTCTTCGTCACCACTAGCGGATTCGGAAGGCCATACAAACGTGCGTGTCTCTTCCTCTATTCTAGCGACAGCGCGACTCACGCGTATCGTATCCAAAACAGTTACATTTCTGTTGGCATCGCCGGCCTGGGCATGTAAAGTCTGGTATTGTATTTTTAAAAAAATATGCACACGGATCCTGTACATCAAAATTCGAGCCAAGTCGCATCTCACCTTCCCACGATATCAACGCACCTTGGACATGTCGCTTCACGACGTCAGTCGGGGTCCCAAATGGTGTTGCTACGTTGAAATTTTCCTTGGATCTACGACCCGGGACTTTGTTGCGGGAATTGCAGGCATCGAGAAGGGGCTCGACTGAAACAGAGGCAAGCTCGCATCCTTTTACTGCTTTACTCTTTGTAACTCTGGGCCTTGGCGACTGATTNTGTGCTGTCAATCTCGGCACCAAAGCAGGAATTTCTAGGAGCGGATTCTGTTGTATAGTCTCTCTCAGTTCATTTGTTAACATAAAAGGATTGTTAGTGAGAGGGAAATCAGGCCCGAGGCAGATCCGCAAAGGCGCTAGAGAGTCTAACCAGTTGAGATCCTTGGTCATTTTTACGAGATAATTTTCGCCGTCGTAGAAGTATGCTGGTGGAGGAGGATCATCGGCTTGCACACGAGAGCGCACCGCGTGTTCTAACTGAGGTAGAGATTTTGAGCCCCGGGTTTCGATAATGCTAATACCACCGTACGTTTCTCGTTCGGCACGGGGCGGTAGCTCGCTCACAAGTGCGCGGCGTTCCATCGCCACTCTTGGTTTTGCGGCATCATGAGCCTGAATGGCAGCCTCGCGGCTACCATAAACCCCAAGAAATTTGGTAATTTGCGCACGCTTTGCTGGCAGAACACCTCGTTGGTATTTTTTGAAATGCGAATACACTGCTGGAATCGGTCCCCACAATTGGCGCCCCTCCGACTCTATCGTAGCAATCCAGATGCGCCCTTTAGTGATGGACTTGCGTCCTGCACGGGCAACGATGCGCCGTTGTCGAGCATAGTACTCGCGCCATGCGGTGAGAGTTTCAACACACTCAACACCAGAGACTCGCAACTGATCCAAAATGGTTAGAACGGGTTCCACCACAGAATATGCTTTAGCAAACACAATTCGCCTCGTGTGGTTGAACTGTTGAGCTTCGTCTAAGGTAAAGTTCTGGACAGAGGCGCTGCAGCTTGCTCTGTTACCCGGGTCCTCAAGATATTTTTTTTTTGTCTGACCTGCCGCCGCACGAAGCTTTTCCAGAAGCATCTCACGTGAAAGCACAGAATGGAGAGCTTCCATATCCAGTGCCTGTTCGCGTTTCTCTCGCTTTTTCACCCACTTATCACGCTCGGCCACGGAAATGTAGTAGTGGCGCCCCTGGCATTCCAAGGGACCTCTAGTGCAGCTCAGGCCCACCCAGCTGTGACATAACGGCGGTGCATCGGCGGCATTCACAGTGGTAGCAACGACACGATCGACACCGACCCCCAATGCCTGTGTGTCTTCTGCAGTGGATTGCATCGTGATGTTTGGTACTTCCTGTAGAACGTCCACCGAGCTGACTTTTTCGCGGGATTCTTGACTTGCGAGAACAGCGACGTCGTGCACCTATAGCATAAAAGTTTCGAGCGCAAGCATCTCTACCAGCTTGCACTGGACCGAGCACATTCCCTCCCACGTGTTGTCTTAAGGCCAGAGACGCTTGCTCTATTTCCTTAACAAGTTCAGCTGCCTATCAATGGTTCATTGAAAAACTCCGACTCAGTGATTTGTTGACACCTTTTTTTTTTCGTATTCAATGCTGACCTCTTCTCTCCGCCGCGTCCGCTCCAGGCCATCTAGCAGAGCAAGGCGACGACCACGTTGAGCCACAATCTTAAAGTTTTCGTTGCCCCAGTTCGGCGCAGAAGGCTTCGACGGATGGGGTTCTGCAGAAGCATCCTTTTCAGGAGCTTCTAGGGGCTGCGTACCCAACTCTCGGGCAGTTATACCAAGCTGGGGAGTCTCCTGGAGTGTCGCACGGAACAAAAGAATGTCGTTTTCATTCGAGAAGCACGGCGCACCACCGAAACGACCGCAACGACTGAACTTCCCGTTTACAGATTGTATCGAGGAGCCCCCAATCGTATAAGAGGTGTGCGTTGCACCAACTCTTGCGTCAGAAACCGACGCGCAGGCCCCGCCACGTGCGGATACAAAAAAAGGGGGCTGAAAATCTTGGTTAGACCCACCCCCGAGGTCAGCCCAGGTCTCTTCGTGAAGTCCCCTGCCCGTCGCAAAAGCGCCATGATAACACGCACCACCTATACGCTTTTATCCACTAGACAGACGAGTGCAAAGAAACACACGGATGGAAAACCAACAGCGCGACTTGATCCTGGAACAACGGGCACTCCAATGACCCAAGCCGCAACTTGGCCGTCAGGGAGGGTGGTGTCAAACAAGCTACCATCAAAGCCTTCATTCTTGTCATAACAAGTGGCAACAATATCCTTCAATATCTGGGCTTTAGCCTCCGAAACCTCGCGCTGGGTGACTGCCAATTTCCGAAGCACGACCAGGCGATTACGTGCTTCTGTACGTTTCGCCACTGGGATTGCTTCTTGAGTTCCAGGTGCTGCATTGATGCGCTCAATGAGGTCCTTCACATCAGAAGCAGCGTCCATTGCAGCGCGATTCGCCAGTTTCAAGGCTTCGCGGGCAGTATTGACCGCCTGGTACCTATGCATACCCACATAAAGGCACGCGAGAAGAATTGGGGTGATTGCCGGTCAGATGCTTTGCTGTGGACAGCAACGTATGCGGCGGTAGCAGCGGCCTGGGCCTCAGTCCTTGGGGACTGTTGGGGAATATCAGCCAAAGCCTGTAATGCCGCTTGCTTGCCAAGGTCGGTCATCAAGGGCAGATCATGTATTAGAACAGCTGCCTCTTGGTACATGCGACGTTCGCGGTCTAAATCCTCAAGCCGAACCAAAGCAGGATCGCGCAGCAGGTGCTCCGCGCGAGTATAGCGTTTGACCTGAAGACCAGCCCATGGGCGGTAGCATCAGCACCGAATCTATGCACCTCAATCGTGGCTTCAGCACGGACTCGTTCAGAGTCAGCAAGCCCTTTTTCGTACACAGTCGATTGATGTTCTGAATTAAGCGTCACACGGTTAGTGCTTCGAATTTCTAGATTTGAGGCAATCAGACAGGCTCTTTCTGCCACACCCTCGCGTCTCTCTGCAAAACTTCCAGCAACGGGACCCTCGTGATTCGTCAATTCTGAACCGAGGTCGTTGCGGATGTTCCGTCTTTGTTCACAAAGATTTCGAAACATAACCCCTCTCCCTATGACAAGGTCCCAAAATAACGGTTCATGTGTCCGGACAAGCAGTCGAATGATAATTAGGCATACAATGTCATGTATTAACGATTGACCCAGAGGAATGATACAAGATATAGGATTAAGAGACTGTCTGCCTCAACATGGGCCCACCCCGACCCGGTACCTGGGGGACCCGGGGGCATCCTCCCTCCCCTAGCCTGTGGCCCCCCCCGCGGNCTG